TAAATCCATTCACACTCTAATCACTTCATAAAGGCCCAGCCTTTCAATTACCATAATAGGATTTCCTGCCCTCTTAACACTGTTACTGTGGGGATTAAGTTTAGTTTTGGGGGCACATTCAATCCACAACACATGTTTATGCTGGTGATACCTACTGGATATCTCCTCCTGATGTCCCATAAGCATACAAATTCAACATATCCCTAACTGTAATAATCTTACTTTCCATTTACCCTCCAACTCCGAAATGTCTTTTCCAGTTTACATTGTATTTCTCCACTCAAAATGGCATCACTAATCTTACCAGGCTTCCAAGCCAAAAATCTAGGACACTGTTGGAGTCTTTCTTTGCTCCCCAACTCTTCAGCCTAATCAGTCATCAAGTCCTTTTTATTTTACCACCTCATTATCTTCATGTAGCTTTTAGAATATAGGTCAGACCTTATGGCGTACCATTTCAAGATCTGTCCCATACACACCTCTTTTAACCTTTTTTTTTTTTTTTTTTTTTTCATTCTCCCTCATAATCCATCACTCTGCTTGCCCACTCCTCCCTGTTTGTCACTTGGCTGGGCTCTTTTGAAACTCAGCTAAAGTTTGAACACCTTTGGGGACTTTATCTTGACTCCACCACTCTACTGTCTGATTTAAGCTTATCCTTTGTAGTCAGTTCTATAGTATCTGTCTATACCTCTAGCCCAGGGTTCTCAACCAGGGGTTATTTTGCCTCCAAGGGACATCTGGCAATGTCTGGAAACATTTTTGGTTGTGCAGTGCAAGAGGGAAGGGGTTAATACTGGCACCTAGAAAGTAGAAGACAGGAATGTTGCCAGCCATCCTGCAGTGTGCAGAACAGCACCCTTGCAACAAAGAATTTTCCAGCCAGAATGTTACCCTGCCTAACATAATATTTTGTTACTCAGTACTTTGATTATTTTGTTTTTTCTTCTCCAGTAGATAAGGGATCTTGTCTTACTTGTTTTTGTATCCCTTAATCTTGATACAGAGCCTATCATGTAGTAGAAGTTCAATAAATGTTGAAAGAAAAAGGAGTTAGGGAGGTAATTAGGATATATTTATAAACTCTAGAGATGAGTAGCCATTCTGCTACCATGGGCAACTTGCTAGTTTCATTGATTTCCTTCCCATTGCCTTTTATTCATGTTGTATTTGGAGGATGCCCAAACTTGTCTATTTTTCCTTTGTTAATTGATCAAATGACTGACTCATTTAAAAAATATTATACCATATTTTCTTCAGCATCACGTTAAGCTCTCTTCTGTCCATGTATTTTGGCTATTTATGAAGTGGTGAAAAATCATTGATTAGTTAGGTTTTAGAAAAATAAACCAAATGATCCTATTTAATTCTTATCAGAGGTTGGTTGTTCAAAACTCTGCTGGCTATAATGACTTCAACAAATAAAGCAGTCGAATTACAACTACAAGTGAAACAAAATGCGGAAGAATTACAAGACTTTATGAGGGATTTAGAAAACTGGGAAAAAGACATTAAACAAAAGGATATGGAACTAAGAAGACAGAATGGTATTCCTGAAGAGGTAAATTAAGAATTCCTAATTTAGCATCCAGCAAAATTATTTATTTTAAAGTAGAGCATGACCTTTTAAAATATTTTTTGAAAATACTGAAATTAAAGTGATTTCCTTCACTGTCAACGTTTTTAGAGATTCTACATTTTAAAAAGTTTTTGTAATAATTGTATTAACTATATTAAGATATTTTAAGGCTTAGTGAATAGATACTGAACGGATGACCATGTGATAATACATAATAGTAAATAAATAACATCATAAAATATGTAGAGGGGTGTGTGTGTATAGAAATATATATAGTTATATATTTAATGTTACGTTAGTATACAATATTGGCATAAAAATGCGGATATACTTAGGTTCTACCAAATGTTTTTCTTTTTTTTTTCCTTTTTTTGTCTTTTTTTGTGACCGGCAACGGGATCGCAACCCTTGGTGTCGCGCCCGCACCATGCTCAACCAGTGAGCAGACCGGTCTCTATATGGGATCCGAACCCTCGGCGGGAGCGCCGCAACACTCTACTGAGTGCGCCACCGGGCCGGCCCCCAAATGTTTTTCTTAAGACAGTGTATTTAAGTATGGCCAGGTTTTTCCACATTGTACATAGTGATGTGGAGGTAGTTCAGTTTGCCTTTGTACTACTGCTAATTCATTGTACTAAGGCTGAAGATCAGGTAGTTTTTAAAGTTTGAATTTAGGATTGCAAATTGAAGGTATAATTAGAATTTCCAGGTAATACTTTTCTTATGACTGAACAATGTTCAGCATTCATCAAAGGATGATTAAACTTTTCAAGCATAATTATCATCTTAAGTGAAGATGGTAATTGGTATTTTTAAACACTTGAAAGTTAAATTAGTTCTTGAAAATATAATTTAGTGAGAATCTTAAACATTGCTAGTATACAAAAAGCAATAGAGCAGAGTGCTCAAAACTTTGTGCTTTTTTCCTCCCTAGAATTTACCTCCTATTCGAAATGGGAATTTTAGAAAAAAGAAGAAAGGCAAAGCTAAAGAATCTTCCAAAAAAACCAAAGAGGAAAATACAAAAAATAGAATAAAATCTTATGATTATGAGGCATGGGCAAAACTTGATGTGGTAAGTTAATCTGGTCATTTCCTTCTTAATATTTGAATAAAATTTTCTTGCAGTTAGCTGATAGTCATGGATTAAATGAAAAATAATGTAGAGTTCTTATGGCCTGTGACTTTCTCTTATAGGTATTGTATGTGGAGTAAAAATTTAATTACATAGCTCTTTAGTTAACTAGATTATTTTTTTGTCTGCAGTACTCTTTCAGTGAATGGTGGCTAAAACAGCCAGGATTTCTTTTTTCTCTTCTTACACAAATTACTGTTTATTTATTACTATTTATCCAATGTATTCTTCATCCAATTTCCCACAGTGGTTACATCTTACTTAACTATAATACAGTCAAAACCAGGAAATCAGCATTGGTACAATGTGTGTATATTTCTGTGCCATTTTGTCATGTGTAGATTTGGTTAACCACCACTGCAATTAAGATACAGAAATATTGCATCACCACAAAGATCTCCTTTGTGTTATCCCTTTATAGTCATACTGCCCCCATCTTCCCCACCCTCTGTAACCCCTGAGTAGCCAGAATTCCAAGATAGTGATACTGCCAAAAAAGAATGACCCTATGAATACTTTATAGACTGAAGGACCTGTAGAATACTCCTAAAAGAGAATGTCTTTGTGTCTAGACTTAGGGCTGGGGCTGTGACAATAAAAGTAGGCCTGTCTTGATCCGAGGAAGGTGGGCTTCACACTGGGACAGCAAATGTGTGGTGCGTGCCTCCTGTCTCCCACATGTGACACACAGAGTAACTGGAGAATTACTGCCAGTGAGTTGCCTCTGAATCCTCTGTCTGGTGCTCCAGGCAGCCACTGTCATGTCAGCCTGTGAAAGGGAACCTGTCGGCCAGCCTTATTCTGGACTGTGACCCACTTTAAGGGTTGATTTGGTTAGGGGTGTGCATATTGTGGGTTGCGATTACCAAATTTGGGATTTACATGCCTTTTTAGTCTTTTTGAAAGTGTTTTATTATATACTATTTGGTTCATGCAAAAGAATATGTGGAGACCTGTGTTCTAAACGATAATAATAAAATGAATACATGAGCCCACCATCTAACTGAAAGAATTTTTGTAATACCTTTGAAACTACGAGTGTGTTCCTTCCCTATCTCATTTTCTTTTCCCCTCTCTATGCCCAGAGATAACCACTATTCTGATTTTTGTTTATTATTTTCTTTGCATTATTCTGTTTAACATTTTTACTGGTGTATAACACAATAAATTCCAAAAATCTGAAATGTACAGCTTCCTGAATTTTTACTCCTGTATACACCTGTGTAACCACCATCCATATCAAGATGTAGAACATTTCTAGCATCCCAGAATTCTCCCTTTCAGTTGATAACCTCTCAAAAGTAGCCATTATTCTGACCTCTCATACTGTAGATCAGTTTTGCCAGTTTTGGAATTTCATATAAATGTATTATACAGTATGCTGTCTTTTGTGTTTGCTTTTTTTGCTAACATTATGTGAGTAGCAGTAATTTGTTCTTTTTCATGGATGACCAGAATTCCTTTGTGTGAATACATCACAATTTGTGTGTTTGTTCTCATATTGATATACATTTGGGTTGTTTCCAGTTTGGAACTATTATGAATAAACCTACTGTGAACATTCTTGTACATGTTTTTTGATGGACATAAGCATCCAAGAGAGGATTTACTGGAACATAGTTTATACATACATTTGGCTTTAGAACATACTGTCAAGCAGTTTTCCAAATTAGTTGTGGTGTATTTTTCATAATGAAACCAAGGCTGATTGACTCAAGAGAGAGCTGGAACTGTTATTAAAATAAATAGTTTGCCATCTGCCTCAGTATTGTCTCAATATAAGAGAAATATGAGTATAATTTTGGATTGTGAGTTTATTGCTGTTGGAAATGATACTTTTTGAACATACAGTTTATTCTCAACTGAATATTTTATAGTCTGCCTTTATTTTTTGTGACTTTACTCTTTATTATATAGCCTATTCATTTTCATAAGTTGGTATCTTCTTATAATGCCCTTCCCTGAAAGGCATCATCTCAGATATTTCTCATAGAGATACTTTCTACACAGTCATGTACTCATTCAACAGATATTGATTGAGCTCCTGTTGTGTGTGGACAATGCCATCATGATTATAGTGCATTGCTTGCAATTGTCATTTTAGTCTGTCTATACAAGAGATAGGTGTTTACTTAGCATTCCATTCTAGTTCAGATCTGAGAAGCTGCTTTAGCATCCCACTGCCATTTTGTTTTCTACGCATGTCAACGTAGCAGGCTTGGTTAATCTTAGCTACAACCTTGGTAGGCTGATGGTGTTTCTAGACTCGTCATGCTAAAACACATAGCTAAGTTTCAGTCCATGTTTTAATGTTCACTTGATGAAACTAAGCATAGATTTTGTTTTTTTTGATTTATCAATAATTTGTGGTTTTTTTACATAAATAATTTAAAGTATGTTAAATGCAAAAAGTGTTTGTTTATATAATGAATAAAGTTTGTGTTTAAATGGGCTTTAATGAACTCTAATACATACTGGTTTAAAATATTGTACTAAAAATCATTCTGTTATCATATATGATAAAAACATGATTTAAAAAAGTCCTGATAGGGACTATGAAATTATTTATTACCATGAAAGGAGTGTGAACATTAAAAGAGATTGGGAATTGCTGGACTAGCATATTATATTTTTTTCATTAGAGTCATCTATATTTTGGAATACACTGAGAGACAATATAACATAGTAATCGAGAGCTCTCTGGACGAGGCAGACTGCCTAGGTTCGAGGCAGACTGACTTGGCCACTTACTAGCTGAGTGACCTTGAGTTAGTTAACTAACTTAGGTGTTTCAGTTCTCTCAAGTAGAAAATGTATAGTATCTACCTCAAAAACTGTTGTGAGGATCAGGAGTTAATTGTGTTCTATAAGTGGTTTTTGTTTTAAAATAAGGAAGAAAAAAGTAAAAAAAAAAATGCTGTCTCTGCTGTTGGGTTCTATTTACAGACTTCTCTTATGGTTTAAGGTTATTTACAGACTTCTCATGTCAAACCTAATATCTCATTGCCAATAGTTTGTGATTTAGGGGTGATTTAGACTGTATTGATTTAGCTTACTTTATGAGTTCAAAGTCAGATTCTTTAAGTGGTTTGGATCTTGGTTTTTTAAACAAGGGTACCTTTTTCTCTGGATATAATCTTAACAATGAGAGGTTATTTGAATTGCTTTTAAAGGCCTTTAGGTCCTTTGTAACAATTTAAGATCTGTTTAGTTTTTTTTTTATTATTATTATTTTTTCAGTTTTCCCCTCCCCACCTCCAATGATGGTTATTATGAGCACTGTTCTCCTACTTATGATTTCAGGACAGTATCCTTGATGAACTTGACAAAGAAGACAGTACCCGTGATTCTGTCTCTCAAGAATCAGAGTCAGAAGAAGATGGGATTCATGTAGATTCACAAAAGGCTCTTGCTCTGAAAGAAAAGGTACTCTCTAGGTTAGCTTTAGGTTCCTTCAGGTAAGCAGGATATATAGAAAATCATGTGGATCCTAAAATTTCTTCAACATAGTTTAGGGGGTGTTCAGACTTTAAATTGTTACTGGCTATATCCCTGTCGGGAGGTAGTATAGCATAGAGGTTAGGAGTACATGCTCTGGAGCCAGATTACCTGGATTCAGATCTGTGACAAAATCTTTAATCTGCCTGTACCTCAGTTTTCTGAGCGATAAAATGAGATAAATGATATAGGTTGAGCATCCCTAATCCAAAAGTCTGAAATCTGAAGTGCTTCAAAATCTGAAACTTGTTTGAGTGCCAACATAATGCTCAAAAGAAATGCTCTTGAAGCATTTTCAATTTTGGATTTTCAGATTAGGGATGCTTAGAGTTGTATATATTCTGCCAATATTCCAAATCTGAAAAAATCTGAACCTGAGACACTTCTGGTCCCAAGCATTTTGGATAAGGGACACTCAACCTGTATTACTAAACCTTAAAATGGATTGTTGTGAATTTTTAATGAATTATTGTATGTAAAGTATTTGGATTGTACCTGGAGTTGTTCCAGTGTTTTTAATACCAGACTGAAGTAATTTGAAATCAATGTGTGATTCTTGGCGTGAATATTATGTTCCACTCCTCCAAAGCATAGGCCATCTTTGGTTACTTTTTGGAACGTTCAACATCTCCCTGTGGGATGCCTCATTATTAAAAAACCAGCTACGTTGCTTTTAAAAATCTGGAACTCTCTTCAGATTAAACTTCATCTTGATGCTTTTCTTTTGTTACATTTCTGTGGGTTGGTGTTGTCAACAAAAGTATAATGCTAAGTATTTTACTCATTTTTCTGCCATAGCTCTTGGGTTGTGCTCATAAATGACTATAGTGAGTTTTAGCACTTGTAAAAACACCATTTTGCCTAATTCTCTTTTCTTTTAGGGCAATACATACTTCAAACAAGGAAAATATGATGAAGCAATTGAATGCTACACAAAAGGCATGGATGCTGATCCATATAATCCCATGTTGCCAACAAACAGAGCATCAGCATACTTTAGATTGAAAAAGTAAGGAATTTCTGTAATGTGTGTGAATGTCTTATGTGTATAAAGACTGATTTTTTAATTTTATTTATTTATTTATTTATTTTTAAATTTTATTTTGTTGATATACATTGTGGTTGATTATTGTTGCCACTTACCAAAACCTCCCTCCCTCCTCCCTTTCCTCCCTCCCACCCAACAATGTCCTTTCTGTTTGCTTGTCGTATCAACTTCAAGTAATTGTAGTTGTTATATCTTCTTCCCCCCCTCCCCGGTTTTGTGTGTGTGTGTGTGTGTGTGT